ACACACCAGAACAAGAGAAAGAGAATTAGCCAGCACATTTTGGACAATTTGGATGGAATATCAATGAGACCCCAGGAAAAAAATAATCAGAAGGTGGTTGATGCTTTAATATCCTCTCAGTATTAAATGAAAACACGTTTGTGATGTATTGACATGCTAATCAACCATATTATGACGCCTGGAATCTTCAATGGGCCACTTGTTCATATTTTATAGGTGGTTTTGGTTTATATTGGCTACTTTATAAGGCGGTTTTTGTTGGTGAGCTTGGAGAGAGAAAAGTAAGATGAGTCAAACGTGACCATGTTCATATACCTAAATGTAGCTATTACAATTGGTTGAATTCTTGCTTGGACTGCATAAATCCTATCTGTTAAGTATAATGATTACTTAGTGTGATTCTGCAGGTAAAGATGGAAAACAGTAACCGTTCTGCCAGGCCCGACATGAACGACGCATGATGGATTCATAATTTGGCACAGGATCTGGTCCTAACCCATACTGCCAACAAGGTAGGCGGATTAGGCCTGCCATTTTTAGGGACTTGGTGGCCCAGCCCGGCTTGGCCAAGTTTAGAGTAACACGCCGGTGGGGGGGGGGGGGGGGGGGGGACCTGACCCGATACCATGGTGGGTTACTAATTTTGGCAAGTCGGGTCCTAACCCGCTGCCAACAACGGGTAGGCGGGTAGGCCGGCCTTTTTGGGGATTGGTTTGGCCTAGTCCGGCCCGCCAACCCTAATTGTGGGTTAGGCTAAGGGGTGGGCCGGGGTAGCCCATTTTGTATTGTTATTTATTTTGTTTGTTTAGTTAAGTTTTTAAAATGAAATTAACAATTTATAAATGAATTAATGTAATGTTTTTAGTTAACTTTTCCAACTATTAATAATTCAATTATAAATTAATTTTTTTCGGTTAACATTTCAAATTTAATTTCAATTTTAAGCAATAAAATATTAATATAGAACAATTAGATTTTTTATTTATCAAGAAAATAAAATAAGAAATTAACAATCTTAGTACTCTTTAAAAAACCTCACCCAAAAAAAACCCCATGGACAATAAACTTGGTAAAGACAACACAAGGGCCAAATAATGACACTAATTATTTAACAGGTACAAATTTACAAAGCGATAAGTTAGGGGGTGGTTTACACATACAATATTTTTATACCAATCTTAATAACACAATACGTGAATGATTTTAAATTTAAACTCAAACTTTCACTTAATTACATTTTGCAACTAATGTATCTGAGAAATGATTGTGTATGAGAATGTTGTATATGTAGTATTATTCTTATCGGTTTGGATCATCAATGGTAATTTGTTATAATCTTTGTATAATGGGTCGTATTAGGACTTAGTCTTAAAAACTGTTTGATTTTTTAATTAAATATATTTGAGGCTAATTATTTAAAATTTATTATAATAATAAATAAATATTGTGGGATTATCTTTTTTATTTTTTTAAATTATATAGTTTAATTGTAAAATGTAATGGTATAACAGGTTTAGATTTCATCATACGGTTTCATTGATGAACCTATTTAGAGAAGAATGAATTATATTTTATAAAAGACATGGAATTTGAGCATAAGACTTTAGTAATTTAATTTTCTTAATTTTATGTACCATAAAACATAAAATAACATGGGTACAGTTGGGAACCTCTCTTGCATTGCCCTTTAAACTAAAAAAGGTTGTTGGTGGACAAGTTCCCTGCAAAATTTAAAAAAAATAATAATTTTTAATTCTTTTGGGCCAACCCGTCGGGTAGGGGGTTGCATATAGCAACCCGACTCTCTGGGGGTGCATGTGCGTGGGTTCAACCGGCTGCCTATAAAGCGGTCCGGGTTGAACTCTCTAAGGCGGGCCTGCTGTTAGGGTTAACCCCTAACCCGGCTCATTTGTTCCCACCTTAATGTAGAGTAAAAGAGGAAATAAGAGGGGGGAATTTTCCTTTTCTTCGGCCGTTTTCTAGATTATCCAAACTATCAATCGAATATGTTAGTTTAACTAAAAGGGGTTGGTCTAGTGATCCAAAGGGTTTGGTTTTATTCCTTGAGTTTTTGGATTAAAATTGGGACTATTTATGTAATAATATTATGATAGGTTGATTATCTGAGGAGGTAGAAGGTGTTAAAAACAATAAAGATTAATTGAAAGGTATACACAAACTGACCGAACACTCAATTAAAAAAAAGTAAAAAATTTGTTAGGTATCCTAACATAAACAGTAATATGACTGATTAAAACATTTACATTGTCTTTTTCGCTCTAACAAAATATGAAAGAACGGTAAACTTTCATCTGTAATGGCAACTCAAGTGGCCCTTTTACATGGCCATGCGTTATGGGTTTCTAATAAATGTTTGTGTTAGGCCGATAGACGGTGGGGGGCTAAATAACACTGAAAATCTGGGGGATATTGATACGGCGCGAACATTCATACAAACATTTACCTCCCCATAAGGTGCATAAAATCATGTAAACCCCTTTGAACCGCGAAAGAAGCAACAACCTACATACTCTCCACCAAAACTTTCGAAATGTCCAATTTCCATCCTCGGTCTCTAACTATGAACAACAGCCAAACATCACCTTCAAAATTTAATATGCACACTGGTCTAACTGGTGTCCGCTTCCACCTCAGTCCTCACATCAAGGGGGCTGTTCAAAGCCTTTAATTTCCCCGGTGTTGCGTTCCATGCCTTTTTCATCTCCACGAAATTTGCATGCAAAATTTTTCATGTTTCAGGTGCGTAGGAGAGTCGCCAGAAATGAGTATGGGAAGCGGACGGTTAGGTTGCCAGGGATGGTTCAGTGGAGGAGAGGCTAAACATGTGTCTTTGTTTTCCATTTCAAAAATAGCACTCCTAGAAAAGTCCAACCCTAGTTTTGTTTTCATTTGTCATTGATAACGTGCATGCATCACCAAATAACCATTATATAAAATAATGAGGTGTAGAGCAAAAGAATGGGGATGTGATGCCCATAAACATGATCGCATTGGTCCACCGAATTTCTATAACCAATTGGAAATGAGTTTAAACCAACGTGTGAAGAATATATAGTCAGGTTGGATGAAGGCAGACTGGACTCCATGGTTGGAATTCAATTTGACAGACCAAGCTAAATTTCTACTTCTTCTTTTTGTTTAATCAATTTGTTTTCTCTCACAAAGTGTTCTTTTTTTTTGGATATAAGTTTATAGATATTACTATCTATTTGCCCTCTCTAGGTAAGTAGTTGAGTTCTGGGAATTGACTTGCCGAACACCAGGATCGTTCTCAGCTCATTTAGAGAGTAATCTTTCTGATTTCTTAGTTTGTGTTCCTTGCGTATCTCTATCATTTCATACGTGGTGCTGAAATCATCATGAAACCAACCACCAAAGTGTGGTGCTTCAAGCATCTTTTAAGTGCTCTAACCATTTCAAAGCTCAAAATAGCACAGGCGTTTTAAATCATCTTATAGTTGATTTTATCTCTTCTGGGTGCAATCCACATATTGTAAATGATCTGACAGAAAGGATGTTACCTACCAATTTTGATAATGTTTATTTGTTAATTAATATTGAGTTTATCTTAATAATTTAAATAAATTAGATTATGATATAGGTAAGTTTTATTTTAGTTGAATAAGACAGTCACGTATTTATGATTCTTTAGTTGGGGTTGAACGTGAATTTTGGTTCGTTTAAATTGTTAAACGTGTTTTGCTATTTAGTAAGAAAGTATGGTTATAAGCTCTCATATATTTCATAGATTTCTATTGGAATGAAGATGATGATTATTTAAATAAAAGGTTCTATTTGAACTCTGGAGGTTTTTAGCTCCAGAAAATTGAGCAATAATTGCTTTCTTATCTATTTAATATCAAAATAGGCTGAGGAAAGAAAACTTCTTCAAACACCTCTGTAACAAGTGGTATCAAAGTCAGGGCATGGACCACTGAATTTAGAAACTTGAGTAATCGGTGAAAGCTTTAGGAGTGGATCAACAAAAGTTTATGAACGAATTCCAAATTTTGTTCAGCAAACTCATGGATAAGATTGATCAATTAATAGGTCAATTTTTTTAGGAGAATAGAGAAGCCAAGTGCCCCGTTCAAACCCTTGCAGTCATTATTAAAAATTGCCCTGTTAAGCTACTACAGTCCAATCATCTTTCGCTCAAGCTATTGTAGTCCAATCTTCTTCCTCTCAAGCCAGCATCTTCCAATCTTCTTCTGCCCAAGCCACCGCAATCCAATCTTCCTCTCAACAAGCCATTGCAATCCAATCTTATAAAGCCACTGCAATATCGGAAAGTATATGGAATTTGTTTGAACTAATTTTTCCAGCAACTCATATTAAGTTGTGGTTGTCCTTTGCTCGGAGTTGTCTGTTGTACCAAAACAAAATCCTTGAGGACAAGGATTGTTTCAAGAGAAGAGGAATGTTACGTACCCATTTTGATAATGGGTAAATGTTAATTAAATTGTATTTTAAGAGTTTTCTTATGGATTTATTTGTTAATTAATATTGAGTTTATTTCAATAATTTAAATAAATTAGATTAGAATATAGATAAGTTTTATTTTAGTTGAATAAGTCAGCCATGTATGTAGGATTCTTTAGTTGGGGTTAAACACGTATTTTGGTCTGTTTAAGTTATGAACGTGTTTTGCTATTTAGTGTGGAAGTATGGTTGTAAGCTCATATGTATTTCCTAGATTTCTATTGAAATAAATATGATGATTATTTGCATATAAAAGGTTTTATTTGAACTCTGGAGGTTTCTAGCTCCCTCAATTGAGTAACCAAGAAAACTTCTTCAAGCACTATCTGTATCACCGTCACTATTGCAGTTTCTTTGTACTTGGAGTTGGAATAGATCTCCCTATAAAGAGGTATTTATAGGCAGAGCAAATGGACAACTAGCTAACAGTAGAAATCAAATAACTGAATGCTTGATGACAGCATTATATATAAATGTTTTCAACAGAACAAGTTTATTTTATTATTGCTTGAAAACACAGTAGATACGCATAGAAGGTAATTGATGAATGGTAGTAAACTTTAGAGCTGTACGGGGTCCCTGAGCAATGAGGCAACATGGTCTTTTGTCAAATAAGAATTGGTGTAGCAGTCATCATCTTTGTAAAGAAGCTCTATTACACGTGTAAAATTAAGAATCCGTTCAAGCAGAGGCAGTGGAAAAGCAGTTGGTTTAAGGAAAGCTTCATTTATATCTTTCCATGCATTTGCAATTTGCTCACGAAACACTTTAAGTGTCTCTTCTTCCGAAACACCATGGTCCTTCATGTAACATTCAATTGCTGAGGCAACATGTCCTCTCTTTTGCTCATGCTATTCCATTTATATGCAAAGTCAATCGTTAAAAATATATATTGATCATTTCTGAATTAATTAATTAATTTAGTTCAGTATGTACCTTGTGACCCACTATGTCATCCATGAGTCTGCAAATTATTGAGGCAGCCTTCAAAACCTTAGGGTAGCTGAATAACCATTCAAAGGCTTCTTTGGTTGCAACATCTCCCATTCCTACAAAAGATGTTGTGGTTAACAATTGGTACGCACTGGTAACCAATGCTACACTCATGTACTCATCCAGTGTTGGAAAATATTTTTCATGACACCATTTGGCTTCAGTATGATAATTTCTAANAGTTGTCAATGGGTAGGTTTTGGTTCCAAATTTTTGGAACCGTTACTGTGCGGTTCCGGTTCCGGTTCCTATAGTTAGGAATCGAAACTGGAACCAGAAACCAAGAACCGAGACTAATATAAAATAAAATTAAATATTATGGGGGTTAATAAAAACTTTTGTAGAATAAGTAATGTGAATACATTTATATTTATATTTTATAACATTTAAAGTAAGTTGATTTGACTTTTGAGAATCTACTTTTACAAAGTAATAGAGTTTATAATTTTGAATTTATAATTTATAATTTTATTTTTGTTAACAAGTGCCAGGTGGAGGGTATTTGTAAGTTTTTAACGGTTTTTTTACCATTTTAAAAACTTTTGGGGGATCATTGTAATTTTACAGGATACCCAGAATTGAAACCGGAACCGTTGTTACAGGTTCTGGTTCTGGGTAACTAGGAATCGGAATCGTCGGTTCCGATTCTGGTTCTAAATTTCAAAGAACGGTCAGTTTCAGTTTCGGTTCTGGTTCTTTTAAAAAGTGTAGGGTATTCGGAACCGAATACCCCTAAATAAAACTAACTATTTAAAGAAAGTAACACTTCCATTTCGGCATTTCATTTCCCACTTGTTTACATATTTTATTGGTCCGTATATTTTGCTAATCTTATGGGGCGGTTTTGGTTTGGTGAGCCTGGAGAGAGAAAAAGCGAGATGAGTCAACGTCGATTGTTCAATGATTATTAAAAGAGCGCTTGAAGATGAAGATTGAAGACGAAGATTGAGACAGTAAACGAAGATACCATATCATGGAATTGCCAAATGGTTAAATACAGAAGTAAATTTAAAGATCTCAGTTGCGATACAAATATCATCTTAGAGTCAGAATTATAGCAAAATACATTGATGAGTATCCATAAATTATGATACCAGAAAAAGAAGGTGACAGCATAAAATTCCAAATTATCAATATTTTGCGGCTTGAATGGAGGGAATTCTCTTTCCAAATATGTAATTAGGCCAAATGGGTTTTTGGCTGTGGTTAGGTTGGCTTGGCTCCACTAATAATCTAGTGTTGTGGAGTGTGGACCCTCTCAGTCTCAAGTTTCAAACTCAATGGCTTCTTGCCTTTGGTGATTGGACCGTTCATGAACAAGAGTAAACCACTTTTTCCCACCCAAGGTTTGGTGTAATGACACTTTTCTACCAGTCAAGTTTCAAAATAACTCTTTTCCCACACATCAATTTTCAAAATGACACTTTTCCCATCCACCGTTATGTTTCGTTAGGAAAATCCATTATGTCACATAGTATAAATAATGTAAAGACAAAAATATCATTCTCTCTTACTCTTCTCTTTCTTCTTTCTCATTTGCCACCTCTGATTCTAGTGACTGGAAAAACAATCGCACACAACCACAAACACTTCTAATCCGATGACTGGAAAAATAATTACACACAACCACAAACACTTCGAAACCAACTTTACTAGTCGATTTCCAACAAAACAACTCCAAACAATTACACCCAAATCATTAATCAAGTAAAAAAACCCTAGGAAATGAACCGGTGATCAACGATGTTCGACAGGCAAACGGGATTGGCTTGGTTGGGGACTTTAGAGAGGAAGTGCCTGTGGTGGTGTCAACGCTGATTTTGAATGACGGGATTGATAAAAAAAGCTTGGGGCCAGCGAAACAAGCCAAGCGCAGAGATCAGCACACAGCGGGCTAAAAAGTGTGGAGTGGTAGGGGTTTTGATTAGGGAGGTGAGGGGAGTATTTTGGTGGCATCAAGGGAGGTAGACGACACCGGAAACAAGTCGATTTAGCTTGGATTGGTGGGGCGATAAGGGTGAAAATCGAGTCGAGCCACTCGAATTTGACTCAATGTTGGCTCGAACTCGACTCGGCATTAGTCAAGTCGAGTTCGAGTAGTTAATTGAGTCGAGTTCGATCATAGTAGAACTTGACTCGATATGTTCGCGAGTATTTACAAGTTCGATGATTAAGTTGATAGTTTTTAAAGTAATAGAGTTCATATGTAATTTAAAAGTTATAAAATTTGCAAATCCACCCTTGTTAAATGAGCTCGAAATCGAAATCGAGTTCGAACTCTAACTCAATTAAAACTCAATTATACGAACTCGATTTCCAATTTCTAGTATCGAGTTCAAGTTCGAACTTGATTTCTTAGGCTTGATTAGGCTCAAACTCGTTATTATAGCGATCGAGTCAAGTTCGATTTACCAGATACTAGACTTGATTTCACCCCTATGAGCGAGGGGTTGGGTTTTTTCCTTGGAAAACGGCTTAATTTCAGCCAAATCTTGGACAATTAGGCTAGAATAAGGCTAAAAGGATGAAGAAGTGAAGATTTCCGTTAGTTTTGGTGAGAAAACAAGTCGAAATCAGTTTGAACCGGCCAGCAGTGACAATGGCGACATTGTAGCAGTTTGAGTTGATTTAGGGTTTTTATACAGGGGGTGACGGTGGCAGTAGCATTTGAGAGGATTTAAGATTTTTATATAAGGGATAAAATGACATAAATACCCTTAAACTGCTTTTTGAATTTACTATTATGTCTTTCTCAAGTTAAACTTAATGGATGGCTCTTAACATGAGTGGTAAAGTTGTATTTTGAAACTTTTTGAGTGAGAAAATGTTATTAGGCCAAACCTTGGGTGGGAAAAAGTCGTTTACTCGAATAATATATTCACGGCCCACGTCACCTTCATAATTGCTCCAAGTCTTTCTCTACAGTGTGTGAAAATTATGCTTAAAAATGCATTGATTAATTCCACGTAACCTTTGTGCTATTGAGCCAAACTATACTTTTAACGTTCATGAAATTAATGTTTGATTGCTACCTTACAGTGAAGATATTTCCAACCACCGTCCATGATTCATCTATATAATTTAGTTATTGGGGTCATGCGAATTGCAGTAGGTGTAGGCCTGTAAATTAAAGCTTCTTCGTCGTCTTCGCTAAAGCTAAGTGCTCCTTAGTTGAGATGAGGTTTTCTTGGAGCTCATGCACATCACAAAACCAAAGGCTATTTAGATTATATATTCTGAATCTGTGAGACTTCAGTTTGTTTAATTATGATCAGTGAAACCGCGTATATATATATATATCTTCTACTAAAAGCAAATTAATGAAGCATTAATTAAGTGCTGCTGGGCAGGTTCTTTGGCTTAGGTCACCTAAATCTTTACACCATTTTCCCTTAGAATTAATAAAAGTTGAGGAGAAGTGATTGCCATTAATTTATCATATAGAATTAATTCGTAAAAGCAGGCTTGATTGGTGGGAGAATAAAGTACTCATCTCTTTCAGAAGTGGTGGTTCCACAGTTCCACTTCCATATACTGTATATATATTTTATTTTTCTGGTCCCACCATGGCAGAAGATAGTCAGATACAACAATATTATCTCGATTCAGGAGGCAGCCATCATATAAAAATATATATATCATAGTATTCTCCATCCCTCTTGCGTAGCTTTCTCCTGTATAATAACTTTAAAAGAGTGCTCATTAATTGACCCTGTACTATTCCTAATCGGCTTGCAGGAATATGGAGGCTCCATCCTTAGAACCCTTCAAATTAGTTACGAAAACTCAAGTCCTTGTTCCAAAATTAAAGATGTTCTTCAGTTACTGCTTTAATAAAAGCAGTTGGTGAGATCGGAATCGCCCTAGCTAAGTTCTGATATGGGATTATTGACCTATTGTACAAAGAAGAGGGGGTCCTTTTCTTTCAATATTTGGGTAGCTTGCATTGACCATTGAACCGCTGCTTGTAGTTGCAGATATATCTGTGCATGGTGGGGTTACATTTGAATAACTTGGATGAGCCGCGTTTCACACTTCAGTTTCAGGTTTGTATTCTAGAAAGTTAATTAACGTGTCAAATGATTGACTCAGGTTTGTATCACTCTGCCCTTAGTTTATGCACTTAGATTTGACCTCCTCAACTACTTTGTATGTATTCATACTTCTATATCTATATTTAATTCTTTACCTCATGGATCCAGATAATTCCCATCTCCCCAATGTGTATGAAAAGAAGAATTTCTTTCTAAGATATTTGTTGACCTATAAGATTCCTGATCTTGCAGGATGATTGGTTGTGTATAAAGTATTCTGGTATATAAAACAAGATAACCCATGTTGTTCTTCTGAATCAACATAGCATACTCGTTTTCATGGAAAATTCAAGTTTCCATTGTTACCGAGTCTTGACATGTCAATTTGGTAAAAAGTAGAATCAGTTTCTTTAGGAGTTGATGATTGACAAAACCTAATGGCCACCCAATCAACCATATTCTATGCAAAAAGAAAAGGACGCGGTAAGACTTTTAAGTAGATGTGAACACTTAACCTCAATTTCAAACATATAAATCATTATATTTTTAAGTAATTTATTGTCTGTTTTGAGGAGGGGCGCGTTGGGCTTATGATATGGTGAAATTTCATTATAAACCATAACATTTCATAAAAGTACATGTAAACCCCTTTCGTACGAGAAAGAATCAACAACCTCCTCTCAACTGAACTTCAGAAAATCGTGACAATTTCCCTCCTCGTTTCTCAACTATGAACAACCGCCAAACCATCACTAAACTTTATAAATTATGAATGATTGCATAACATGATCACATTGTTCCACCAAATTTCTATAAAACAGTTGGAAATGAATCAACCAACGTGTAAGAAATATATATTCAATGTTTTGGATGTTGACAAACAGACTCCATGGATGTAATTCATATGTCTGGGAATCTGAGATTTTGGAGTTAGTGTAAGGGATTAGCTAGATCATTTCACCATGACTAAAATTTTGCTATTGGATTTAGTAGTTTTATACAACTTGTTTTCAACTGGGATTTGTACAAATGTAGCTACAATTCCGACTGTTGTAAACGTTGGGGCTGCTTTCTCCTTCAATTCTACCATTGGCAAAGTTGTAAAAGTTGCAGCAGAT